GTTGAGGGATCATTTAAATATTACCTAAGTACAGTGCGAAAAAAAAAACATTTTGGATAACTTTTGATCTTCACGTACTGGACAGGATCTGCTACAGTTGCGTAGTTTTGGGAAGTACTTGGGGGGGGTGGGGGCCCTCTGAAATTAAGCATTACTTGATTAATGAACTGTTGTACAATAAGTAGGATGCAGATATAAAAAAAACTTCATTATTCATTTTACGTAATTTAAACGTTTAGAATGAATATACATATATATATATATATCTTTATATATAAGAAGAGAGTGGAATGATAACACATAGCCAATCACAGAAGACTTCTGGTTAGTAACGCACAAAACAGCCAATCAAAATTGAGAACGCATGTATGTGAAAAGGTAATAATTTTTAATAATGCTGTCAAAAAATACAAAATACAAATTGACCTCAAATAAAACTCACTGGACTTCGAATTAAATAATTAAGAAAACTCTACTATTACGTTTACAAAAAGGAGGATTTATTAACTCAACAACAAAATTATAGCATCGCCATTCCAAAAAAAAAAAAAAAAAAATCTCACACTTGTTACGTAAAGCTATAAAAAGAGCGAACGATTAGTTATGCAAACGATTATATATGATTATTATGAACTAAACTTTATGCAAACGATTGTTTATGACGTCATTAGATAAAAGTGTCATTAACGCAATATTATCCAGTGTTTATTAATAATTTTGAGTGGCAATGTAAAAAGATAGTTGTTCTAAAGTTTTATAATAAAATGTTTGTTTTGATAGAACGCAGTTATTTATTTTAGAATTCCAATATATTTTAATAGCTTTGAAAAATCGGGTAGAGTTATTGGATGCACGAATCAACACTCTCTCAAAAAACTATTTTCATTCCAAATTATCANATTCTCACGTATTAGTGTTTTTGTTCGAAAGTTGGCCATATCAAAGAATATTCTTGTCCACTATTTTTGAACTATTGGATAATCTTCAAGAAGACATTTATCCATGCATAATGCTAAATATAGGTTCTAACATGAGTAAAAGGGGAAATGAAATGATAATGTTTGAAGAAATATGGAGTGCCAGTCCTTTAAGGCTAAGACGATCACTTCTAAAAAATGAATTTCATTGCAAGGAAGTGTTGTTCTATTTGCTGGAATTAGAAAATCTGAGCATGGCTGTTACGATATTAAATGATGCTTCCGAAGAAGAGATTACACTATTTACCTGCTTTATGTTTGGTCTGCCTGAATTTAAGCATGCTATTTACTCAAGCAATCTGCATTCACTCCACATGTTATTATCAAAATCTACATTGCCACCAGAATGTTATCCATATAAAAGCAAACTTCTAGAGCAAGGAACGCAAGATAGACCGATAATATCGTGGCTTATTAGACTTAGACATTGGCACATTTGTATTGAGTGGATATGGGATGGCAATATCCAAGCAGTTGAATCTTTCTTGAGATGGGCTTATCAATCTGTACGAATTGGAACATTTAAGACAACAATATCATCTCCGTATGCTATCTACTTGACATTAATATTTTTGTCCAATTATGAGCGTGTGGACCAGTTCCTGAATTGGTATTTCGAGACGAGACAGGAAATTCACCATTTTAAAGCAAACTTTTTGAAAAAATGGGATAATTATTTTTTCAAGCGCTTCATAGACATGCCGTTCATTGTCTCAAAAAGAGAAGACGATGTGTTGCAAAAATTCATAAACTACAACTTGTCTTCTCTCGAAAACATTGCAGAATTTCGACTTATTTGTCGTAGATGTATAGAGTACGCACTGAGTAAAGGTTTTCTTGAAAGTGCCACCTTGCTTTTGAATGTATCTTTTGATAATATCAATGAAACGAAGAGATACAAAAACGAAATTATACAATCTGAGGAAAGAATCAAAAAGTTTCTGCTCCTGAAGCAATCACTTACTGATGATGACTGGAATCATGTGAAAGAAATTGTAATGTGGTCGTCGCCTCTAACCTTAAATACAGTCACAAAATTAAAGTCACTGATTCTGGAACAAAAGACTAATCACTCTTTCCAAGATGAATTGAATCCACAAATTTCAGCTCTCCTTGATTTACTGGAGAATGCTGTTGAGAAAGATGATAGTTAAACATTTTTTTTACGATCAAATACGAATGCAAATAAAATCATATTCTCCGTCAAATGACGAATCATGTTCACAGCTCAATCACTGTCAAACGATTAATTGTCTTACAATAAATAGGTGACTCCATTTTTTAGTTGTTCAATGCTAATGAAACAATATCTGTTATATATTATTTGTCACAGCTTCAATAATTAATTTAATTGTCACAACTTTATTATTTTTTATTTTCGTTATACCTGAAGAAAAATCAACAATTTTACGTGATTTATTTTTCCTCACTATTCCCAAAAAACAGTCCCTAAGAAGATATATATATATATATATACAGTCCCTGGCCATTTTATAAGATTCTAATAGATTCTAACTATAGATTCTAAATTCGCACTATAAGATTCTAACAAAAATTTTAATTCTCAGGTGATACTATATTGTTTTTGAGCGACTGAAACCGGTTTACACTTGTTTACGTTGGTTAACATTGTAATGCAATACGTTAAAAATAAATACAAATAGGTAGTACTTAAAAAATCTCCGGCATTAGTATTCAAACTTAATGGTTTAAGGAGGGTGACCTCATATTTGTTACCAAATTAAGTGCAGATGATAATCTAAGTTAAGAAATCAGACAGAAAAACGCGCTTTCTCATAAGAAGCATAACCGCGATAGATTCCTGACTCTCAAAATCAGAGCAGAAGCCACGTTCGGTGGTTAGGACAAGAAAGCGGTTGAAAGTTCGGACACCTCAACGTTAATTCTACTTTCTGCGGACTTCGAATCGAAAATTGTTTGCATACAATTATAAAATGTGTTTATTCGAAGACAAGTCTATGCAAAAAATGATTTATTATTATTTTATTTGCAAATAGTCGAAAAAATTTGAATTTTAAGTTAAATAAATTTTTACTTCAACTTAAAGAAATAACCTTTTTTATTTGTAGGAAATCGGTCAAAAAGTTACAAAGAAATCCGATTTTTTAAAAATGTGATTTTTTTTCTTAATTTTTCAGTTATTTTGAAATTTTTACATAAAATACATATATCGATTTTTAAAACCATCTATTCAGTGGAATGAAGCCATAGACATTTTTTTCTTGTTTGCCATCTCAGTTTCCCATTCCTCAATAAAGAACATCTCTTAATTTTTTGTACTCAAGACGAAGAGTTATGAAAAATAAAAGTTACTGCATATTGTTTTTTAATCGTTTTTGTATTTCTTTTTATGGGTCATTCATTTAATTAATGTGTCATAAAAGGGAATAGTTCGGAAAAAATGAGTTAAAATTGTTTGCAGTATGGATAGAGTGAAATTTCGGTTATAGTGAATAGAAATTTAAGTTCCTTGAAGGTTCACTATAGCGGGGTTTGACTGTCTCTGTATTGTTCATCATTTTGTTCTGTCTTTGAGCGATTCATCTTACATGTTTGTGTGAAGGACAATGAGGCCTCCACATTGTTCTTTCTCTACATGTTTAAGGATCGAACTTTTATAAAAATGCTTTCTCTCTCTCCTCATTGACGTCAACATAAAAGACCAGTTCAAGTGCAGTTTTAAAATAGATTTTGTTAAATGTGTTTAAAATAGATGGAAAAAAAATAGAAATACGATACTTCCTTTATACACTCATCTATTTTAAAAATATTCAATATAGAGTTGCTCATTCCATTTTATTTTAAAATTAATAATTACTTTAAAATTAATGAAAATTAAAATTACAATTGGTTACACTGGAATTTTTAAAAAAATATCAGGTGATTTTTTTTATATTTAAATAAAAACCTATTTATATGTAAGGTTCGCATAAGTCTAATTTTATTATTTCAGAGAATAGTTTAACTTTCATAAAAAAAGGTGGCAACATTCAGATATGTAAATAGAACGCTTCGCAAACGCATATATTTCGCTGTTATTATTTTTCATTAAATACATAAGTCTAATTTTATTATTTCAGAGAATAGTTTAACTTTCATAAAAAAAGGTGGCAACATTCAGAGATGTAAATAGAACGCTTCGCAAACGCATATATTTCGCTGTTATTATTTTTCATTAAATACTTTTATAAAATATCTCTTCGCTTATTTACTGTATTGCATATTAATTANTACAATTGACCCCACTCTCCCCTATCTGCTACATTTTAGATTTTCCAATTCATGACTTTTCATGACCTTCCGTGACTCATTCCAAGAATTTTTCATGGCTTAACGAAATTCCATTACATTCTAAGACGCTTCAGTTATAGAAAAACTGACCATCGACAATTTGTTTAGTTCCGATTGCTATCGAACAAAAGGATGATTATTTGATGTCTAATTTTTGTTAGTTTTTTCTGATGAAATGAAAAATAATTAGCTAAGTTAGGATATATTTTTAGTTAAATTTTATCAATCTTTTCAAATATACTTCTTAAAACTTGGAATTGAGAAATAATGGGCTCATTTGTTTTAAAATAAAACGCAGATTAAAGTTGTTTCGATTGGATGCTGTCTATTAACCGATTCCCTGATTATCCCGAATTAACTCGGGTATGCGCATATATTTGTTATCCCGAGTATACTCGGGCATAGCAGAATTCGTCCATACGTTATGCTTTATCACGTTTTTATTCGGCCAGAAACAAAGCAAAAAATAATAATAATCTGCTGCTGCGATTGGCAGTTTACCAATATTTGATTGGGGGGGTTTGCTATTTGTGGAACTGCAGACGTGTTTTGCGCAATTGTATATACGATGGTTTATGAATTTACATAGAAAGAAAGAGTAAAAAAAAAAAAATGGCGCTTCCGAGCGAAAGTAATGCAGATAACTTTTTCAGAATATGAAGATGTGAACATGTACAAAGACTAATATTTAGTATATGAAGAGTGACTTACACAATTGTGATGTTGCTTCATTGTTCGGTGTGACCACTGAAACCTCCTTGGAGAGACATTCTAGCGATGGATGGTCACTGGTCTGGACGGAACTATCCTTTGTGTTGCAACATCTTGTGTCTTGAACGGACTTGAAGATACCATTTAGTTCCAGACGCTCTATACCTGTTCAAAGATAAAGTCCAAATTAAATACAGGGTATCTGCTACATTTTAGATTTTCAAATCCATGACTTTTCATGAATAAATCATGATCAATCAATTTTTCATGACTTACCAAAGTTACTATTTTCTCCGAGAAAAACACAACACTAAATTTAAAAAAGAATTATCATAACAATAAATGAAATGATTAGTATAACCAAAACTGTTATATTCTGCATCTTCATATTTATAAATTTTATACTTAAAAAACAGAGTAAAAGAAAGAGTTGAAGGAATAAAATAGCTGGAAAAAAATACAAAGGCAAACTTTTTTTTCTCTTTTTTTTTCCTCTGCAGAATTATATTCTAAAGAAAATTTTCTTGTTCATGGAAAAGGAGAGAAATATTAGTGATTTTTCTGTTCTCATTTCGGAATTAAAAAACATTTGCCAATGACTGGCTTGGTTCAGCTAGAATTTTAAATTGATAAAATAAAAAATAATAAATAAAAAAAATTCTTAAATCACAGAAGTTTAAAAGATAATTCACTCCAGAAATGATGCTCTTTCTTTCATTTCTTGAAAGAACACCATCATTTTTAAAGAACGTAATAAAAGCATTTTATATTTTAATAAAATATGACTGTGAGTTAGGTTTTTATTACGAATTCAGATATATGGTACGCTGCGAAATTGGGGGTAGGGGGGATTCCATTTTAAAATGAGATTTTTCAGCGACCTAATTCCATAACTTTCCACAATTTAAAAAAAATATTAAAATCATGACATTTCATGACAAATTTTGTTCAATACCAAAATCCATTACTTTCCAGGAGTACCCTGTAAATACAGTCTCTATAGAGTGGACCCAGTCGAAAATCCACTATAAACGAGATTTCATTTTACGAAAAAGTATTTCTTAGCAGCAGTATTGTTGGGAAAAAGTGATTGCGATAGTACATAATTTGCTTTATGAGATATTTACGAACTAAATACAATCTCCTTACAACGAATTTCTCCTTATTAACCATTCAAAATATTCTTCACATAAAGAAGCCTGTCTACAATGAATTTGTCATTTTGTTTGTCATTTCAATTTTTTAGATGTTCATCATTTTTAAAGGGCATTTAAATTTTATAATTTTGGGGCAACTGCTTGACGTGCTCCCGTTTATATTCATTCCAGAAAATAAATTCATTTTGAACACTCTTTAATGATGCGTATTATTTCATTTTTAATTAAAAATCATAAAATACTTGTAAAACGGAAATTTGAGTCCACTATATGAGTATAAAATGAAATGAGTAGAAGAACAGTTCGAACGGTAACCACTAGAAACTTTTGCTGGGGGGGGGGGTTAAAGTTNGGGGGGGGGGTTAAAGTTATTTTAGATAAAAAAAGAGATTGCGAGTAACATTGATGATACGCTGTGTGCTATAAATGATTGGTTTACATTACAGTGATATGTGTAGGAAACTTTTGTAACTGATTTCGAGTGATGAATGTGAATTTATTGTTGATGAGCCATTTAAATGCTACGTAAGCGTCTAATGAATTTGTGATTTGCTTTTTTTGCTTACGTAAGACATTAAAACACTTATTTTTAAAAAATATATTAAATTGCAAAAAAAATTTAGTAAAAAATTACAAGTGAAAAAGTTTAAATTAAGGAGTAGGAAAAAAATTTTTCGAATAATTTCAGAGGTCAAGAGTTAGGGAACAGAAGAAAACATGACAAGAATTTAAAAATATTCGACTCTAGATTTGAAAAACTTATATTTGTTTTTGTTCTTTTATTTCAGTTTAATCCTAAATTCAGATAACTAGAGAAATATTCAAATAAATAGTAAAAATTTAGGATTCTTTTTTTTTGAGGAATATGCTGACGTCATATTTGATCGGTCCCTCGTATATCTTATCTATAAATGGATATCCAACTATCATAACAGCAGTTTCCATGAATTGCAAAGATATAAAAAGATTCTAAACGCCCATCCTCAGAGGAAAATTCTAAATATGATTTTCACATAAATGGTGAACTCTTTTGTGTCACAATTTAAGACACAAAGCGTGAATCTGACAAAATACATTTATGCAATTAGCAGTTTTTTGTATAGCATGCAATAAGATTTTTTACACTAAACATACCAACACTTATTCTATATCTATTATTTTACCATAGCCGGTCAAATGATCGGACTTTATGATTCTTGATTGAATGGATAAAATAATCAGCAAATATTCATTAAATATTAAAGATTAAAGTCAGATTTTTAATATTAAAAAGCAAAATAACATATCATTTTGAATCTTCTCCTAATCAGAAACTTGGTAGCAAGATTTTGTATTCTTCTTTTAAATTTAATTCTGTGATAAATTAGAAATTTTTTTGACTTTTTAGGAATTATAACAACAAAGAAAATTCTCGAGCATCTGAAATTATTTTTTTTTTCTTTTTCGCTCACGCGATATTCAATTCAAGGAATTTAAATAAAACATAATATTCATTCCCTCTTTTATACGCTTTACAATTTACAAATGTAAATAATTTCATTCAAAATGAGTGGTTTCAAAAAGTTAAATGGGAGAATTTCTTCGAGAAAATTTCTGATACGCACATGCTAACAGGGGTCTGTCCAGACATTCTGTGAAAGGTCCGTTTTTCGTGAAATTGTGAAAAAATTACTCACATTCTTCCAACCAGGGTCCGCTTTTATGAATGTGTGCAAATAGGGTCCGTTATTGCAAAAAAAAACTTTTTCAAGAAGTTTTTAAATTGTAAAGACATACAAGATTATGCTCAACACTGTAAAATTATAATTAAAAAAATTAAATTTTAAAAAATGAACAACAATTGCTCCTTCTAAATTAGAGATGCAACATACAAATATTTGGTATTTAGCCTATACTGCTGAACGCAGAATATTAATTTCGGACGAATAATGGAAGAATCGTCTGCCGAAGACAAAACTTAATTCGTTTACATCCATCTTTCTTGTCTTCTGCCCTGGAAAGGGTTTATTCGATTAACAAAATAATAATGAAGATAAACAAATTTGTGAAGGGTCCGATTAAAACAAAAATCATTTTGTGAAGGGTCCGTTTTTAAGTTAAAATATTTTGTGAAGGGTCCGTTTTTATGAAAAGATATTTTGTGAAGGGTCCGATAACGGACCCAAATTTCTTCTAAACAGACCCCTGGCTAAATTATGTTCACAAAATACAAAAAAAACGGGAAAAAAATAAAGAGCAACCTAAACGATTATTTTTGAATTTGAATAAATATTTTCTTGGATGCAAAACCAGAGAAATAATTTTTTTTGCACCGTTGGTATGTTAAATTTTACAGAAACGAAGAAATTACGTTCTTTAAAACGAAAGAAAAGTATTTTAAATCCATATAGACTTTTCTACGAAAATTGTCCTAAAAAATGACAACTAATATATTTTAGTTCGCAGGCCGCCAGTTGGTAACCACTAATATATATTGAAAGAAAAACCTTTTTTTTTCAAGGAGGATATTTTAAAAAATTATTGCACTGAATCCATGGATTTTACTTTAAAAATAAAATGATAGTAGATTATTGTCCTTTTAACAAAAAATTGAAGATAAACTAACTAGATAATTTAGTTTAATCATTATATAATCAAGCTAAACTAACTTGAATCGAAATGCAATCAACTTTGCTATGAATGTGCCTTTAACTAGGTTAAGTAAATTTATCTGTTCTCACGAACACATAAATTGGAGTTAGTAACGAATAGTTTTTAATTTACATTAAATCATTGTATTTTGAATAATCAAAGTTTCCTTACAATTACTTAACTTTTGATATTATTATAAATTTTGCATTTTTTTTTTTTAAATGTCTGGACAGTTTGCAGTGATGCAAACTATGACTAATATTAATTTACTTCATTTAAAAAAAAAAACTATCAGTTTTTGAGACACAAAATTAGAAACTTGAGAAAGTTATTGAACTTTCTTAACCGACCTGTAAGATATAATTTAGAAATTAACTTTATATATTATTAAGAAACATAAAAACTGCTTTAATATTGAGATATAATTTTCTTTTCATATTAAAAAAAAGGATAGCGAAATTTGAGGGGAAAAACATTACAAAGTTCGCTTCATCCACAAACTATTCATTAATTTATTTTTTAAAAGTATTGACTTACTTTTCAATCTTTCTTAATATTATTTCTTAATATAAATAATATAATCTTAATATTATTTATAATACTTGATTTCTATAATTATTCTAAATTATAAAATAAAACTAAAATTGGATCAAAACACTTCATTAATTACGTAAATTAAACATTTTTCAATTATTAAACAATAAATAAATTGTTGAACAATAAATAAGCCAATTAACTAAAGGAATAAATAAGGAATTAACTAAAAGCTGAAAAATCCGATACAGGAAAAAGAAAAACAATTCAATACAGAGGGACATTTAAAAAACAAAACATCTTGATAATTCTTTCCGTTCATATGGTAATGGTTTACCGGAAACTCCGTTTTACTACTCATTTATGAAAAATTATAAAACTGAAAAGTAAATTGAATCGAGTAGCTTTTCTGTGATGCTTTGAGGTACCATGATAAAATTACCCTAATGTATTATAAAAACCTTATTTTATTGATCATTTTACCAAAATCATTACCATAAAGCTTTGATAAAAATTACAGAAATGCTGAGCCAGAAAATTTTACCATATTCTACTACTTTTTACCATACTTCATATTTCCTCAGTTTGTGTTAATGCAATAAAAGATTTTGGGATTCCTTTAACGGAATTTTTATGTAACATTCTATTTGTTATTAACAATCTGTCATTAAGAAAGAAATAATTAATTATCAATCTAAATCTTCCCCAAAAATGATTCAAGTGTTAAAAACGTTCTCTTTAAGAATATTCTTTCGATTGATTTGACTGGGTACAATGTTTACTTCAAAATGTACCTTGAAAAAAACACTATTATTATGCGTTGGTAATATTTTGACGCTTATTATTTTCAACATGTCACTGGATTCGCTCTCAATGGAAGTTCGGATATAAATAATTTACTCATCAAAAAATGGTTTAGATCCATCAGTGTTGCTAACGGCAAAATTTTCAAATTAAGCAAAGTTAGTAAAACACCCAGAAAAAGAATACAAGTTCAAACATACCACAGGCTTTGTTCATCATCATAGTTGGCCAGACAGCCCAATGTGGGTCACTGCCTTCCTCCGAAGATTTCTCCATAATGCCTTCCGATTCATCTTTGATCTCCAATTCTTTTCATTATTTGCAAGAAAATCGGACTCCACCGAGTTACCAAATATCAACCGCGGCCTTCCCCGCTTTCTCGTTCCAGTGGGTTTAGAAAGCAGCATTTTTTTTTTATTTTATTGTACTGTCGTCACTCATTCGAATCACGTGGGACATCCAATTCATTCTATTTATTCTTATCTATTTAATAATATCAGGTTGTTTATAAATCTTGTACAGTTCAAAGTTAAATCTCCTTCTCCAGTTATTGTTTTCATTTACTCAACCAAGTAAACTCCGGAAAATCTTTCTCAAGTATTGCGATACAATTTTCCTCCAGTTTTGTCATTATCCAAGCCTCAGAAGCGTAGGAGGTCAAGACTGGCCTGACAAGAGTTTTGTAGATTAAGAACTTTGTTTTTCTAGAAAGAAGTTTAGATTTAATAAATCTTCTCAGTCCATAGACAGAAACGGATTTTTATTTCAGGAGTCATTCTGTTGTCAATAGTAATAATTGATCCTTCTTTATTCGATGCAAAAAGTAATTTTTTTTTGTGTGTTAGTTTAAATTTTGCATTAAAATAAAACTATACTATTTCAAAAAGTTTTGATCTTTCATATATAGGCAAAATTAAAGATCGCCCCTTTATGACTAAATATATCAAATGCTGGTCAAAAAAATTTTTTTTGAGAAATGCCTTACATTATTAAATTTATTGAAACGCTTAAAACGTGGCCACTTGTTTTACGAGGGTTGCTATTTATATTTCTGGCCTAATAATGAAAAAACAAATATGTAGGATCGAAATTGGTTTTATTGTTTTTCAAAATATTCTCCATGATGATCAATACACTTTTGCATGCGTTTGAACCAATTTTCAAAGCACTTTTTCCAGTCCGATTGAGGTAACTCCAAAACATGCGTTTTGAATGCATCAACCGCTTCTTCGGGGGTCGAAAATCGTTGTCCACGTAATTTATTTTTGATGTGTGGGAATAAGAAGAAGTCATTGGGTGCCAAATCAGGGCTGTACGGCGGATGACCCATCAGTTCGATCTTTCGCTCCGTCAGAAATGCCTTTGTTTGAGTCGATGTGTGAGAGCTCGCATTGTCATGATGAAGAATGATTCGCCTGTTCTTCTGCTTTTTTCGAATTTCTCCGATGACTTCTGGCAAACAAATGGTCGTGTACCATTCAGAATTGACCGTCCTGCGTTGCTCTAACGCCACTGTTGCCACATGACCGTTAATGCCGAAGAAACAGGCAATCATTTGTTTCGATGTGCTTCTTCCTCGAACAACTTTTGTTGGTTTTGCCTCGTCTTGGAAGACCCATACAGTTGATTGCTGTTTTGTTTCCGGCTCATATGCATAGATCCATGATTCGTCACCTGTGTAGATGTTATACACAGCCTTTGATGTACCTTGAACGTATTTTTCCAACATTTCCTTGCACCAATCGACACGAGCCTTTTTTTGAGCGTTTGTCAGATTATGCGGGATCCAACGCGAACAAATTTTTTTTACGCTCAAATGTTCATGCAATATTTTATTGATGCTAGTCATACTAATGTCCAAAGACGCCTCTATCTCACGGTATGTCACATGACGATCTTGCTTTATCAGTTCACGCACAGCATCGATCTTTTCTGGCACAACAACGGATTTTGGACGACCTGCACGGGATTCGTCCTGGATCGAACATCGACCACGATTAAATTCGTTATACCAATTTTTTACAGTGCTGTAGGATGGCGCTTTATCGCTGAATAAAGAATTAAGTTCATCGAAGCACTCTTGTCTTGATAATCCACGTCGAAAGTTATGAAAAATAATGGCACGAAAATGTTCACGATTCAATTCCATTTCAACAACACAAATGAAGCTATAATGGTAAATCGACTGCTGAATTTATGTTTAAAAATATCAAACTTTCGATTAAAATCGTCTGCGGTCGCCTAGCAACAAGGCCAGAAATATAAATAGCAACCCTCGTAAAAGTAGCTTAGTTTCCTTCCCTTAATGAACAAGAAATAAATATATTTACCTTTTTCAACTGAAACCAGGAGTTGTTGAAGGGCGGTGGTCAACTGGTCATCGCTTACCATGACATCAGACGATGTCCCGATGTCCGGCATCCCATCCATAAATGCTATGGACATAAATCATCTATGTGAGTCGGTGAAGCTAAAAATATAAAAAATAATCATCAAAACCATAAAAAAGAAGAAAGAAGAAAAAAAAGAAATTTAAAGCATTTCTGCAAACTACAAGTTATTTCGCATATTTCACTTTAGTTTTAAAAATAAAAACGACGTAAATCTTGTTTATTGTTTGATAACAACTAACAAAGATGAAGTAAAATATGTGTAGAAATCTCAAGTGTAAAATTAAATCTTCACTGAAATAACGTTTAGATTAAAATATTATACAGTTGAACCTCGCTATAGTGAACCTTCAAGGGACCGAAATTTCGATTCACTATAACCGGGAGTTCACTATACCCATACTGCGAACAATTTCAACTCATTTTTCCGAACTGCTCCCTTTTATGACACATTATTTAAATAAATGAACAATAAAAAGAAATACAAAAATGATTAAAAAAACAATGTAACAGAAAATGTGTTGACTTTTATTTTTTATGACTTCATTTTTTATGTCTGAACTTTTATTTAAAAAATTGAGGGATGGCCTTTATTTACTGAATAGAAACTGAGATAGAAGGAGCAAACAAGAAAAAAATGCTCATGGCTACATTCCACCTCAATAGATAGCTTTAAATTTCAAAATATTCCAATTTTTAGAAGAAATTTCAAAATGACCCAAAAAAGGAAGAAAGAAAAAATCAGTCGAAGACAGAAAAAAGTTCATTCATTCCAATTTCCTCTCGTCTTTTAGTTCACTATATCCACAAAAATGATACAATAAGTGTATAGCAAGGCACGGGAGGTTCGTTAACTATAACGGGGTTTTACTGTAGTATAAATTTTCTGCTATCTTACTACAATCAACACTAGTTGATGGAATCAATCACTTTATTACCGAGAAACGGTTGAAAATATTATTGCCACAAAAAAGAAATTCATTTGTTTTTCAATATCTTAAGAATCAAGTTTAAAGGAATTAGTTAAGAGAAAGTAACCATACAGAGCTGCGTAGAATTTCATGATTACGCACCTTAACCGAATGACCTAGATCAGTGTTTCCCAAAGTGTGATACGCGTACCCCCAAGGGTACGGGAACAGTTTAGCGGGGATAAAAATAGAAACAAAGATACTTAGCATACATCTAACTGCAGGCAATTGTATACTATTTAACTAACTATTTAAAACTGTATTTGCATAATTTTGTCTCAAAAAATGAATCGAGAATCTAAGATACTTTATATCTCAAATAATGATGGGGTGGCGGTAGTGCATTTTACATGTATCGCACTATACTTGTTAAAAGCGTTGAACTAGATCAGTGTTTCCCAAAGTGTGGTACGCGTACCCCCAGGGGTACGGGAACAGTTAAGCTGGGGTACGCTTTCTTATGCGAAATATCTTGCAACAAACGAAAATTTCACAAAATTTTATTTAAAAACAAAGCTTGCCATGAAAATTCACAATTACGTATTTTTCTATGGGCCATTTTTAGCAGAGTTAACAGTTAATAATTAGGGGTATCAACAGCCAGTTGTGATTTTTAACTTTTGGGCAATTTTTTTACTCTAAAAAATACATTCATTTCGTATTAGTGGTACACAGCGTTACAAAAAAATTTAGAAGGGGTACACAAAAGTCAAATGTTTGGGAAACACTGACCTAGATCAACTAGGTAATGCGCATGTTAACGTCAACATATATAATTAAATACATCTTGTTAGTATAAAAAAATGTTGCATAAATATAACTTTAATAACGATATCCTACTCAGGATAGCATACACATCAATGGAAATCATATAATTATTTTTTAATTCAACCATAAATTGCCATTCAATAATATTTTACTTTAAAACTGCACTCATTTTTTGGACTTTTATTATGAGTTGTTCCTTAAGAACACATTTATGACCATTTATTAACCACCGACTTATAATAAAACTAAAACGGCAAAAAAACCAGCAAATGATTATACTGTGTGACACGTTTTAAAATGCAAGTTTGAAACACGAAAATGAATAGAATCGCATTCACAAATGCGCTTTTAAAACGATCCTTAGTTAGCTCAATCATGTCTAATGTGGCGCTTTTGGGCCGAATCATATAGTTATTCTATAGTATAATTATACAACTGAAAGATTATTCAAATTTCGCGCATAAGCGTGAACATGCAAATCTGCTTTAAAAACGTGTTCGTAATTGTTATTTTGATATACTCAGTTATTGTTAGTTGTATTTAAGAAGACGAAGAAGCCATTAACAACAACAACTCACTGACTTCGAAACGTGTAATTGGGGGTGCGAGAAGGTGGATTTTCTTTCTGCGATATTGCAGAAAGACTGGAGAGAAAAGTATCCATTGTGCATGATTTCATATTTAATATACGTCGTTTAACAGCCTTTGCGCTCACGACTACTAATCTTCAACTCCTTGTCATTTTGAACCTATCCAGAGGACAAGGAAACTCCTGGATCAGTACCCCCAGAGGTATTGATTTGTCATGGGAACATGGAGGACTTTGCGACTCGACAAATGCAACGTTCATCAGTCTCCATTTACTACAAGGTGAGTCTTCATCCGACGGGGATCGAACCCACGAACTCTTGGACATGGGCCCAGTGCCCTACCAACCAGGTTATCCCGGCCTCATTGTGCATGATAGTTGGCAGCAGTGGTCAAGGGAAGGAACTGATTCAAGGAGACTGGGTTCTGGGCGGCCACAAGGCACTACTCGGAGGGAAGACCGCCGTACGGAGTCAGAAATTCGAGCTGCAGTTGGCACTCCAGTGACACAAAGAACTGTTGCAAATCGGCTAATTCAAGTACAGGTCCGAGCGAGATGCCCTGTAGCACTCACTCCAAACTACTGCCATATAAGAGGTGGGTGGTATCGAGTTAGAGCTCACCGGAAGACAGAATTTGAGATCTATTATGTTTTCTGATGAAAGTCGGTTCTGCATGGGTGCCAGTGATAGCCGTTGGAAGGAGGCCAGTTAAGCGCCGACTATTCTCCGCCTAGACACACTGGGCCTACACCTGGCGTTATAGGTCTGGGGAGCAATTTCTTATGACAGCCGGTGCACTCTAGTGGCTGTTCCACGCACCTTGACTACAAACGTCAACCTGATGATTCAACCTGTTTTGTTGCCATTCATGAGAAGCATTCTAAAGGGGTATTTTCCAACAGGATAACACTATTGTCTTCATACTGCAGTAGTAACCCAATATGCTCTACAGAATGTCGACATGTTGCCTTTCACCAATTAAGGACAGCGTCATCCACAACCAGCATTAACCGTATTGACTCTGATCCAGGCATCCCACAAAATGACATACATCATGACACAATGCATTCAAAATTCTGGCTTTTACACCGGTTGTGAATATATTTTTTCTTAACTGTGATCTTTAATGAATTAACTCAGACAAACTTCATTGCTCTATACACTATTCCATTCGGTGTTTGAATGCCAGACATTATTTAAAGCTGTTATCAAGACATACAATAATTAACAATGGATAATTAAGAACCTAAAATTTATTGAAACTGATACCGTGGGGTAAGAGATGATAAGACACTCATTGGTATTCTCGGCGACATATTCAGACAATGCGATCCAATTTGTTTGTGGGTGATAGGAACCACTGACCGGAACGGATACTTCCGTACGAAGGGACGAAACTGACCGGCGGTTGTTGACCTCATCTTAATCATTTTGGAGACATTTTGAATTAAAGTGACATTTTAAACAGTAGACTTCTATCATAAAATTCATCTAAAATGAAATTTATATTCGAGGATCTCTTGTGGCGGTCCATTCTTTTCAAAATATAAATTTCTCTATAAAATATAATCATTGTACGCAAGCGCTGGGGCAGAATTTTTTCCCGGCTTTCTGCGACATAACTCTCTATTACTAATATCTTCCTGCGAGATATTTATTAAAATATCAAATATACACGTTACTAATTTAAAGTAACAGAAGCGTCAACTTCGAATAAAATAATTTTTTTAATTGAATATGTAATTTTTTTATTCTAAAATTTTGGGCGATATTCTCGCATTTTGTAAGGGAAAAAACACACTATTTCCTTTTTCGAATTTTGCTATTCATCATCACATTAAAATAATAATAAAAAAATCGTGAAATCCTTAGTAGTTACTACCGAAAAAAAAGATGTACGACGCGCGAACTCTTCAAAATGCGCGTTTTCAATTAGAGGTTGTAATAAATAATATCCTATTGAAAATATCGGATTTTAAAAGCTACGTGAAAGTCGATAGTAATACTGCATAAAAAATATCCGCAGAATAAAGAAAAACATTTTTTTATTTTATTTCATTACTCTTCATTTTTCATTATTCTGAAATGAAAATCGAAAAATCACAAGCATTTTTTTCTCACTCCTTTGATGTGCGAGAAAGGCAACTTTTAAATATAATTCTGAAGAAAAGAAAAAATCTTTCGAAAATTTCAGCAGAAAAGAAAACCAAAATATTTTACTCCACAAAGGAGAACTCTTTCTGCAAGAACTCGGTAACGCTCTGCGACAATGTCGCTGTGTCACCACGATTCTGCCACGGGGTTTGTGACATTAAATTTTTATATCCTTGGCTCCCCCTTAGCAGAATCACGGCGACATTGTCGCAGAATGTTACAGAGTTCTTGCAGATAGAATTTCTCTTTAGAAAGTAAAAAGTTTCAGTTTTCTTTTCTGCAAAAATTTTCGAAATTTTTTTCTCTAAAATTATATTTAAAAGATGCCTTTTTCGCGCATCGGAAAGGAAAAAAATGATCTTAATTTTTTGATTCTTTTTTTAAAATGAAAGATGAATAAAAAATAAAGAAAGAAAAATTAAAAATAAAGAATATTGAAGCAAAAAATTTCTTTTCAGCAGAAATGCTTGAGATATTTTTTCCTCCACAATTATATTCAAAAGGTACCATCAGACGGGAACTCGTGAAGTTTTTAATTTCCTTTTGGGGGAAAAAAAATTGGTTTTCCTTTCTTTCTCTGATTTTACGATTTTCATG